CCAACACATTTCCCACCACTCTATCCCACCCAACACCTCGCTCACCACAACACTCACCACACCAACCACACAATCGACATCAACCCCAACCATACCAAACCCAAATATAAAATCACAACTCCACCAACAGAACTTATCGTTTTCGTGTTCGTATTTACGTCGCTCCTAGTCCTTGTGTTGTTACTTATTGCTGTTATCTGTTCATTCAGTTTATTATCTATTCTATTCTTGTGTATGTTCCATTTGTATCTATTATGTCATCTATTCTTGTTCCTGATGTACTCTTATTTTCTTCTATCTGTTATACTAAGCTTATCTATATTTCTGTGTGTATGTGTTGTCATAGTATGTGTATTAAGTTTACCCTGTGTCTATTTATTCTCGTCATGTGGAGTCTATCATGTGTTATTCGTATGATAGTTTGTTTTTTACCTATAATCTGACCCTGCTTGTTTTTTATTTTGCTCATTTTTTTTTGGGTTTTTTATAGTACTGTTTTCGGTTTCTAATGTACTTTATATATTGTTTATTTTATTTCTATTCGTTTATTTTTTTGGTTGCTTAAGGTATATCTTTTTTACTTGATTATTTTAAACGCTGTCCGTCTGTTGATTGCTATGACCCGTCACACGTTATGCTCTTGTACCTGCTAGTTCTTACTCGCTTCTTTGTGTCTCTCGCGTTAGCGTGTAGCCTTTCTTATTCTGTGCAAGTCCACTGTCGGTTTCGAACTACTTATAGTTATCCTGTTCTTTATTATCAGCTATATCTGTAGCATTGTTGTTCTTCATTGTCGTCTCTCTACCTGTATTTTTAGTATTATTTTTTTTTATTGTTTTCTTTTGAGTATTTGCGATTATATTAGTTTTGCTGTCACTCTCGTATGTTTATGTGTGGTATGTGTATCTGGTTTTATATTTTTTTGTATTTTGTGGTTTTCATGCGTGTTCTATTTATTTTTTCATGTTCGTCTGTACGTGTAAGTGTATAGCTCTCTATTTATACTGTTCTACTAACTTTTTTTACGTTGCTGCTTAGTTTCCATTTTTTTTTACTTTATTATTTTGGTATTTATTGGTTGTGTGTTTTTTCATTGAGTGTTCTGAAGTCTTATTGTTGTTGTTTGTATTTAGTACTCTTTACTCCATTTTTATCTTTTTAATTCTTATTTTACTTATGTGTATTTGTTGATTATAATATCTCTCGGTATTCTATATATCTATACTTAATATTTATTCTCTTTGTTGTTAATATATTAGTTTGTATATATATTATACCTATACATTACCTAAAAAAAACTACTCTCTGGTGTGATTTCACTATTATTTCTATTTATGTTGTATTATTGAATATTCGCTTTATTTGTTTATAGCTGTTTCTACGTGATATATTTTTTTCATTTATTTATAACATTTTTTATCTTATATATAACTTATTTCTAACTAACTATATTAATATAGACAATTTATTTCATTTCTTTTTAATTTTATCTTTTTAGTTCCGTTTTCGATATTGTATATCATCTATCATATTATATTGTTTTTCAGCAGCATATCAGTGTTCTGTCATAGCACTACATAATAATTTTCATGCTGCACTTCCCAACAACTCTTGGACAATGCCATTTGCTCAACGCGACAAGAACATAGGGAGAAATACCAGCTTCACACGCCTCAAACATCTCTGTTACCATTTTTGTTTATTTTTGTTCCCTACGATGTCTTCGGGTATCCATGTCTTAACATTTATTTATTTCTCATTGTCCTTGTACTCGCGTAGCACGTCCCGATCCGACAGCATGGAATATTCATGTATTATTTTCGAATCCAAGCCAGCTGGTCGTGCTAGCGTGCCTGGTCCTAGCCATGCTGCAAGGCACTTGCGACCTTCTTCGGTCACTCCTTGTCCCACCCACTCTGTTCACACAAAGTAAACCGATCGACAAAAAGCTAAACAAACAGTCCACAACAGCGTGGAAACGTGGTTTGTATAGTCGAGAAGACAAGGGGAAGAGACAGATGCTGCCAGCTGTTGTCTACACTGCAAGCACTGGGTCCTTCTCCTGGATCTGGACCAACCATGGTGACCCACTGGAGACTTTAGGACAGTGAAAGTTCTGCGGTTTTCAATACACCTAATTGCCTCAAGTGGCTGTCGGTCTCGGAAATACATGTGCCTTCTGCTGCAGTAGTAATCCGGCTTAACACTCGTGCAAAATGCGATCAATTACTCATCTCATTGTATTTATCCATCTCATACCGTCAGCTACCTAACCTTGTGTGTGCTTTAGCGGAATATCTTACCCACTGGCTCCTCCTGCGAACCAATTCCACCGAACTAAGTCTCATTAAAAAACCAGAACAACACCGTTACACTATTCTTGGTTCTATCTATTATTATAAGTTCTGTATTCACTCTAATTCCATTACATCATCTATGATCTTAATGCATACCAAAGGTTGTTTCTCTAGTTGCAAGACACAGTAGCCAATCAATAATAATACGCGCCTAATAAATAAAATCATATCAATTCGATAAATAACACATAATGATAAGAATAGTAATACAACAAATAATACATTAATTTTATAGTATTATCTTAATCATATACTATTCTTATTATCATACCTCCAACCATGCATGTATACCCTTCAGAGCAATGCTTTACCATAAAGACCCTGAAACACACCCCTGAACAGTGTTTCCTGGGTTTCCTTTTCTGTCTGTCTGTCCGTGCTGTCTGGACGCTTTGACACAACCTCATGACAAATAACCCCTCTGGACAACTGAAGCGCATTTATTAATCACATGTTTATTGTGTACGAAAACACCACTTCCTCCATCACGAGATCGTACATTACAGCTGTAAACGATGTCTTATGGATGCCACTGTAGGACGAGTGCGCCCGATGTTCCAAGATTTATTAATTTTTCCCTTAAAAAAAATTGTGTATTTATTATATCTATATCATTATCAATATTGTTGTATCTGCTTTGATTATACTTGATTTTTATAATGTATACTCACTATTCATTATTTCATTACCATTATTTCTTATGCTAGACATAGGAATCCTTGCCTTGCTCTCGCCACGAGCGATCTTGGTCTCGATAATGCTTTCGTGTATCCTTTTTCTCATTCAAACTTTTCTGTAAGGAGCTCGTCTGCTGATAACACTTAAGTAAAATTTTATCTTCGGGGTAGTAAACCAGGCACAGCCTTTTTAAAAATCCAAGCACCTGTATTCATAGCTACCATGTGTGGTGAGCGTTTTTCACAAATCCATACGTTTCGGAAAATCGGTCCCAAAATTCCCCGCGAATCATTCTAGCTTATGAGACTGAGGAGTGTCCTCTTTCGTCGTTTTTTATTTATTTTTTTTTTTTAATAGATTTTAATAAATCATTTGACGATACAACAGCAGGAAAAGCAGTTCCATAATTACCAGAAACTACCATGAACCAAGAGCAGAGCCCAGGGGGAAGTTTTCAAATGATACTACATTAAAAAGAGAGCATATAATGGTTTCTTAGCAGCTGTTCTTATTCTCTTTGATCAGTAGATGGTTTTCGATGTACCTTGTTCCGTTTTCTTACCAAAACAACTAAAGAGGTTTCTAAGAGCTTTACTAAATAATGCTTTTGTGGAGATATTATGCATTTCCCCCTAAAAATGATCACAACCAAAATCTAATTAGGATATATTTTCTTTCCTGTTTGTCATGGAAACCAACACCAGCAACGTTAACTCCTCTTTTCCTTCGCACGTTGGTGCCCCTGACAGCCCCTGTTCCAAGGATGGGCCCTGTAGCAGCACGCCGGATGTTGACAGTTACAGTTCACCAGAAGGAGAAGGCAGAAAGAAGAAGCACAGAAGAAGGGGGCGTGTAAGTCCAGCGGAAACAGGCAACCTACGTTGGATGACGCTGGAGCAGTTGCTGACGCTTAGGAGCAGTTGGATGCACGCTCGGGATCAGTTGGATTGAATAGCGAGCATTGGATGATAGCTGAGCAGTTGGACTTGTGACGCCCTGTGCTCTGATTGGTCAGTAGTGGGGCGCCAGCCATGCCGCAAGCTGATAGGTTGAAAGATTCACGTGACTCTTCGCTCATTGGTGTAATGTCACATAAAGCGGTTGCTGGCGCGCTATATTCAAGATTTACTTTGAGGATAAACGTCCCTGTGGGGTTACATTACTAACTTATTCGGGTTTTTATTTAACTGTTTTTAGTTTTGTTTATTTATCACGTCATTAAGGAAAATGGACTGTGTGGATTTTGTAAGAGTTCTTCCCAATTCACCGATGAAAGCCCGGGGACAGGTTCAGGTTCGTATCCGAGAGTTTTACTAACTTTAGCTAACGTTATTGTATTAAATATATCACACTCTACTAACTAAACAGGACACAGTATACCCTCTGGTTAGGAGTGTATGTCATATGTGTTACTGACATGTAACTGTACGGACTTCCTCGGTGACTAACAGCCCTTCCTTTGTTGTCTGCAGGTCATCTTTGGACCGATGTTTTCAGGAAAAAGGTGAGTTATTCATTCACAAACACACAAACAGCAGCTCTCTTTGCAGGTGTAGCTAGCTGCTGTTATTCATATTTACTGTTTTAAAGTAATGCTAAAACAATAGTGTTACAATTTCCTCCCAGACTTCAACATCCCGCCAAATTCCTTGCATTCTTTACTCGGTTCCGACCTATATACTCTAAATGTATGTCAGTCATATGTACTGCAGTGTACAGTGGCTTTGCTTTATGCTTTGTAAACAGGCCACTTCACAGTGATGTTGGACATTATACTAAACAATATTATATAAAATGTATTCCCTCCTTATGGTGCAGTAGCAAGCAGTCTGAAAGGAGTCTGAGGGAGGCACTGTGACAGAACTGAAAATATATAACCACCATTTAATGTGCCACATGTACAGATGGGTTTCACTGATGTTAACTAAATGATTGTCATTTACTTTGCAGCACTGAACTGATGAGAAGAGTGCGGCGCTTCCAGATAGCCCAGTACAACTGCTTGGTGATCAAATATGCCAGAGACACACGTTATTCTGACTCAGGCATGGCCACACATGACAAGTAAGTCACCTGTTTTTAACTAACTTCAGTAGTCCCTCACATTTACAGATATACAATATCTTTGTCTCTGTGTTTAGGGATGTAATGAAGCCAGTCGACTAGAAACTCTGTAATCAATAAGAAATACAACATGAGGTGGATGAGCTGTCAGTGGAAGTATGAAATTATGAGTCCACTTTGTTTTGAACTGAATTAAATCATGAATTGCATTAGTTAGCAGGGAGAAATCCTGTCTTTCACCAACCTGGTCCACTCTGTCTGAGCAACAGAGGACCTCTAGTGGTAAGATTCGTTAGCAGATCTAGATTCCTGTCAGGCATTATTTTGGTGGACTCTTGAATAAAGCAGGAACTAATTTAAAAAGTATTTGTCAGATAAATTTTAATTAAAAATTTTATCAAAGGGCAGAAGCAAGGTAACAAAACGCACCTAATTATTGAAAATTAAGTTGTTTTCCCCTTTATTAGAAATACAATGGAAGCTGTTCCAGCCAATTGTCTGGGAGATGTGCGGTCTCTGGCACTGAAAGCCTGCGTTATTGGAATTGATGAAGGACAGTTTGTAAGTATATAAACTTCCTGGACCAGACCAAGATGTCTTCCTCTGCACTAGTGAGGGATGGGAATTTGGTGGGATGAATTCCTCTCTAATTCAATCTGTGCCTCTTTTGTGTTGTAGTTTCCAGACACAGTGGAGTTTTGTGAGGAGATGGCCAATTTAGGGAAGACAATCATTGTAGCTGCCTTGGATGGAACCTTCCAGAGAAAGGTGAGTTTGTCTCCAGATCAGTGTGATACTGGCAAACACTCAGTTCATATTGACAAACGGACATTGTGTGGATGCTGCAAAGGCAGATAGAGCTCTACTGTGGGTATAAACACAACAACATGCCAAAGACACACATTTTTAAGGAAGGACTGAGAACAATCTGCATGAGCAGCACTAAAAACGACTGACTGTGCTCTTTATTCAACACTATAATGTCTCTTCTGTCCTTGTAATGTAATTATACCTCCATCCATTCACTGGTACTGACTGGTTTTCTGCTATCCTGTGCAATCTTGTAGCCGTTTGGAAACATCCTGAACCTGATCCCTCTAGCGGAGAGCGTAGTGAAGCTCAACGCCGTCTGCATGCAGTGTTACAAAGAAGCTGCCTACACCAAGAGGATAGGAGCCGAGAAGGAGGTGAGGAGGCAAACTTAAGAAAAGTCTTCAATAAGTTAACCATAAAGCGTTTCAGAACACGTTTCAAAGGGTGGTGGTGTGACAGGGTTGGATAAATAACTATATTATGGTTTATTGTCTCTCAATGCTGTAATTGTATTATAACGAGATAATTTTACTGAAATCTGCCACAGCCTGAATCTCAAATAACTCAACATGTAGATTTTACACTAAAAATCCAACTGTGTTTGACTCAATAATACTGAGATAATTCTTAAAGTTGTTGGGATATTGTGGCCATATCACCCAGCCATAAGCAAAGTAAGTGAAACAGTCCCTTTTCTTTCATTAAATTAAAACTTGTTTCTCTGTGTCACAGGTGGAAGTGATCGGTGGAGCTGACAAGTATCAGGCAGTGTGTCGAAAATGTTATGGAGGTCTGATGACTGATAAAGAGAACAGTGCTCCTTTCAGGAATGAAACTCCACATGTCAAAGGAAAGCTCATGGACTCTGGGATTCCCAGGAAGCTTTTCTCTTCTCTGCAACTCTGAAGACTTTGTTGCAGAAGTTGAACAGAGTGGAAATAGACTATCAAATAGTGTGTGTCCCGTTTTAAGTCTTTGTTTGGTGTCTAATGGTATTCTATTTTCAGTTTTTTTTTTTTTTTTTTCCTAGATTTGGTTTTGCACTTAATAATATAATAATTTTGCATAATAGTAAAGAAATGAATAATTAACTACCATAGGTTTCCCTTCAAATATAGGCTTTAAATAATTGTTGTTTTAATTAACAATGTATTGTCTAAGTATTCATTATGCTATGTTTTATAGGAGTGGTATTTAGTAAAAGTATGATTGGCTCTGATTTGGGTATTTCTCTAGATTTTCAGAGTTGGGAAATCCTTTTCTCAAACTTATAAAACGTGCATGTTTTTAACTCTGTGCACTAACTGTGATATGTAATCCAATGCTCTCACATACCAGAGGACCAAAATAACCAGTTTAAATCCTGGCAAGCTCCAAGGGTGTGCAGTGAGCTGGCAGTCAGGAATGGAAAACCATATCATCACTCCTATATTAAACCCTGTACTACTGCAAAAATATCCTCTATAAGACTGAACATCCTGTGAATGACTTTATTCCATAAACAAAAGGCCTCAAGTAAAAGCTGCTGTGCTTCTGACACATGACATGAAATTATAATACGACAAAATCAAAAGGCAATTTCACAACTCAGTGGTCAAATAAAAGTACTTGGAAACAATAGAAACACAACTCAAGCCAACCAGAATCTGAGCAATATTTTGTACATTTGTAGGCATAATTATTCAAATCATTCCACTCTCCTCACATCTAAAACATGAAGCTTGATGAAATATAAAAGAATCTAACAAATAATTTGCAAAGAATTCAATGTGTGCTACAAAACATACATTAAACCAAGCTTACATATCAGAATGTAGCCATGTGTTAATGGTACAATACTATAATGGGACACAGTTTAGAGGCACAATTTAGAAATCAGTGGCACAATTCAAGTAGGGTAATTATGGGCTGCAGTCTTCACCATCAGAAGTGTACACTGGTTATAAATGCTCACTGAAGAGCAGATTTGAATGAATTTCCAGAGCATGAAAATCAATTTTTGCAAAGAAAATCACTCAGGCACAGCAGTGAGGGCAGCTGTGATACACAGCTGTTTAACCTAGATATAACTTCAATATTTGACTGTGCCACATTTTATTAACTTTCTTCCCCAAAAACCTTTAAAAAGTTTAATTTCTCTCCCTAACGCACAAAAGATAAATCAGCAGTGTTTTTTCATACATTTGGCTTCAGTAAGTTATGCACTTGTTTTCTATAGGACTAACATAACAATGACTTTCCACTAGCACAAATATCTCCAATGTGGTACCATACCAGCATGATGTTTAATAAATATAACCAAATTACATTTCTGGGTTAACAGAACTAGAGTCAGCTCACACCACTGAGACAATATGTTTGAGTGTGACTCAAGGCAGAGGTGTTAAACTGACAAACGTTTTACAAAGCGTAGTAAACCACTAGTCTTCAAGGACAGGCTGAGGTGTCAATCTGTCATTGGTAAAGACATACCCACTGCAGTCTGCCTTCAACAGTTCAGATTAAGGAGTCTGTAAACAGGAGATAAAAATCAGTGTTCAGAAAACTAAATGTCACCAAGGCCTTGGAGGAAGTGTGAGGCCGTTGTGTTGACAGGCTGAAGAGGAAGCATTGCCGCTGGTAGTTAATAAGTTACTCTTCAGTATGAGGACATGCTCGGAGGATAAACATATTCAATACATGCGTGATCTACATGCTCCTTCCTCGTCTATCTCAATGTTAGCTACAGGTTTAAAAGGGCAACACGCCTCTACAGATTGGCACACAAACCCCGTTTTCAAATTGTAATTATAATTTTATATAATTATTTAAAGAAATTGTGGGTTTTGATGGTTTCTCATGTCACCATCAATAACACTTTTTGATTAGAGTGGTTTTAGAAATACTACTAGTTGAGGGTAGGGGACACAGGGGCAATTTTACTGTAGCACAAACATTACAAAACCTTTCAAGGGAGATTTTATGGTTATATGGCTTATGAACTTAACTGCATAATCTCTACAGAGCCCACATTTTACAAAAAACTAAATCACAGGGGGACATTTGGCTTTATAGTGGTCGTCTACCACTGAACTCTACTCCCACAAAATCATTTAATTTCATGCTTCCCAAATTGTTTATAGGTCCTAAACATAAATGCACCAAAGGGGAAAAAAGAAAAGCAAATAAGAAAAGAAAATCAGGCACATACAACCATTAAAATGGCAACTTTGCATAGTGACATCTATGTACAAATGCACAATATCAGCTTCCAACAGAGCGTAAAGAGGAAAACATTAAGTGTTTGCTTCTTCCTCTCTGATTGGAGCTGTCACAGGTATTCTTTATAACGTCACATTACGTGACCCTCGACCTCACACTGTACATTCCAACTACCTCGCCCCTTCAGGATCAGCCCATTTGAGGTAAAAGTTGCGTCTTTGCACACAGGTCTATGGTCAGATTACCCAATCGTCAGTGCTAATCTCAACAATCAGCCTGATGTCTTAAGATCTGAACACAGACTGTTACGTAAACCGCTGTGTCCCTCATCTCTAACTTGCAGTTGCACTGCTCAGGTTCTCAAATCTGACAACACTTGGAAAAATGTGTTAAATCAAATGTAAAACTACATCAATATGATATAGCTCTGGGTCTGCGCAGTGCAACTACAACCAGTCTACCAACAGATGACCTGGAACACCACCCTCCCTTTGTGTGCGACCTCCCTTTGTCTCAGTAGTTGGGCGGCTGGTAGCCGGCGTCTCCTGGCGGCTGGGGGTTTGGGGTGAAGGGCGGCTGCTGGTGAATGTCGGGCATATTGCTGGGATAGGCTGTGTAAGTGGTGGGGGTGTAGGTAGTGGGGTTGTAGGAAGTAGGGGCATAGGTTGGAGGGTAGGGGGTGTGGTGATCCAGGGGCGGTTCTGCGTAGGTTGGGATGGTAACTTCATTAACACCACGGCGGAAACGACCCAGGGCAAAGTAGGTCAGGATTCCCTAAACAATGCAATAAAAATGGTTAATTATGCAGAATTTCAATGAATCACTTTGACCAGTTTAACTGGATTATTTCATACCAGTGTAACAATAAACCTTTTAGGCTTGCTTACAGGAAGTAATCCTCACAATGACATTTAGTCTATCAATATATTACATTATTGATACATTACTGATGTTTGCACGGGTGTAAACAAGTCTTCTGAATAGTTCATTCAAGTGATGGTGGGAAGCTCCAACACATGAGATTTTAAAGCCAGCTAAAGAATACTGTTGCTATTCCAAGACGTTAAGTCTCGAAGACAAACAATAAGCAACTGTTGGGTGTTTGCTCAGCGGTTACTGCAGCATGATAAATGCAAGAGTTACACAAGATCTGAGTGAGATCAGTTTCTAGTAATAAAATGATTGCTGTTCACCAGCTGACTCTAAAGTGTCAAATGTCAGAGCGTCCCACCAGTACTTGAATGCACCAACCTGGTGGATTAAAAACCATATGTGACTTCAAGTATCTTGAAGAGATGTCAAGTCTCTTGTAAGTTTTCATACCATAGTGGAATGAACTGAAGCCAGTGGCTGTTTTAAAGGAATAGTTTGACATTTTTTGACCACCACCACAATAACACTCTCAACCACAAGAATGTCTCAATCTTCTCATCTTACTCTTAGCAAGAAAGCAAATATGCACATTTCCCGAAATGTCAACCTGTTGCTTTGATATAAGAAATATACAGAAAAGTTACAATATCATGATTCTTCAACTTTAATAGCAAAAAGCAACAATAATCAGTAATCTGTAACATAGTTGACATTTGTCTGACCAACAATTATTAACCTTAACTAGAGCTCAGTGGCAAAGAAAGGAGCTAAAATCGGAGCCGTTTTTTAATTAAAGTAGACAACAACAGTCCCGCTCACCCAGGTGGCGATAGAGAAGAATGAGAAGGCCACGGTGGCGCGTGCAGCGTCCATGGGGACACCTCTGACGTCATGAGTGCTACCCCACTGACTGGCCAACAGGCAGAAACACACAAACCACAGGAAGGTCCACGCCCCTAGAAAACATACAGCGACACAGATGCACAAACACAACACACAGATATAAATGATTGTTTTCACGGCATGAAAAGATTTCAAACGTACTCAAACCCCTGATATGAAAAGTAAATTCCTGTGAAAAAAACACAGACACAGAATAAAAACAATGTCAACAGAATAAAAAGGGCTATCCTGTTGCCATTTGCTTAAATGACCACAGGCTGTTTTTCAAACTAGCACTTCTTTGTTTCCTTGAAGAATAGCTGCCTGTGAACTGTGTCGTAACAGCTGATTAATGTTTAATTTCATCAAAATCTCTGATGTCATCGTCCCCTCCTCCACCCTGCTGCTCACTTATCATCTACTGTGTGCAACAATGAATAATACATGTTATGTTATGACAGGAAAACAGGCAGCGGTTTGTCCCACTTTACTCCAGTACTCAGAGGCTTTGTGTATCATTGTGTATCACATTCAAATGAGAAAGCTGAAACTGAACTGGAAAGACTGAGAAAGATTATCATCTTCAAACAACCATTATCACCAGTTAATCAGAGGAATAAATCAACATGCATGTCTTTACATATTGTATTAAAATCTTATCTAAGCAGTATCCGTCAAAAGAAATGTGTTTGATATACTAAAGTAATCAGATCCTTTACTGGATGGGAGTAATGTGTGGTTTACAGTAAGTATGACATGTATTTATTGTATTCAAGTTATTCTGTTTCAAACCTACTGTAGACATCTAATTCAACTTTTGAGTTCACTTTAACGCAGCATTAACATATGTTTTTGACAACTACGGAGCAGTTGAACAAGGTGTAAATACAACATTGACATATCATCAGCCCATAAAGTTGATACAGTTGCCTATTTAATTTTAATTACCGTCACCAGACACATGTAAGTCCAATATTTACTCTAGTTTAGCTGTTTTTGGTTTCTACTAAGTCCTGAGGAAAATACGTGGCTCTTTAGCTGCAAAATGTTCACCAGCTAGTTACTAACTGTGTCTGCCTGCAGTGTGATACTGAGAAGGTGGTGTACAGTGGGGGTTGCCTGCTGCAGCTGGAGAGGGGCTTGATGAGAGCAGTGAGGGTGAACCAAAACATTATAGTTGTTGGCCATAAAGAGTAGAGTGATATCTCACTATGAGCGACACCTTAACTTTACACAAAGTCATTTGAGCCATTGACAATATAGAAAAATATCGATCAATGCAGCTTTAAAGCTCCTACAAAAGAAATCACTTGAATGCTCCTGCTCACCTGAGAATCCCAGGTCTGCCATGACAGCATACTTCCTTTCCTGTGCGTTGCTCATGAAAGGCACGTAAACATCCAACACCAGGAAGCCCACACATGCCAAGAAGGCAATCACCCCGATACCAACAGCGTACTGACATGCTGAGTCATTCTGGTTGAAGATGCACTTTGCTTTGGCACTGTGGAGAGGGTTGATGTATCCCTCTGTCGTGATGCAGGCAAACACCACCATGGCAAATATCTACATTGAGACAGAGAAAAGAAGAAGGTTTGCAAAGACAAAAGAAGAAATTGTCTTGCTAAAAGGGGACATACTGCTGGCTTTTAAAGCTTACCCGTTAACTACACACTGAATACTTAACATAACTGCTTCACATTGTGAGACTGACTACTTTTCAGGCAGTGGTTTCAGTTCATGAAAGTACAGTGTGAAAATTTACTAGCAGAAACTTAATACTTGCTAATGGTGCATTTAAAGAACATTGTACATATGATGTGTTTCCAGAGAGCACAGCTGTAACAAAATCAACCACAGATCATAATAAATCACCATGTGACAAAATTAGTCATCCTCAAGGTTTAGCTTGTATCTACTGAAAGCAGCCTTCACATTAAAGATTACTGAATAAAAAGAGTAAGAAGATTTATTTTAACATACATTTTAAGAAAGTCACACTTGTATCTATTTCTACTCCAACAAATTGGCCAACACATGAGTATAACATGAAACATAGTGACGTTATTATGTGTCATCATAAACGGTTTCTTTTCTTTTTGCTGACCCTGCACAGCTCTTGTGCTCGTCTTGTGTTTTTAATAAAGTGAAGAAGAGTGTTAACTGCCTGGTCCCTCTGACCGTCCCGTGGTCTGTTGCTGTCTGCTCTGGTTACCCGCCTAACCATGTGACCTACTTCTGAGTGCAGCTGCCTGCCATGTGACTCCAGAGATGCCACCGACTCTCTAACAACGCTCATAATGAGATCTGGGAGGAGGATAGAGAGGGACTGTTTAACGGGTGGGAAGCAAGATGAGGTGAGAGGGCAGAGAGACAGAGAGACAGAGAGCGAGAGCGAGAGAGAGAGAGACATGGACCAGAATGGATGAGACAAAAAGTACCAAAAACTACAGAAGACAGAGACATTAGGGAAGTGAAAATGGGGAGTTCCAAAACACAAGACTAAAGTGAGACAGAGGTACCGTTAGTGGAGCAGATGGATGTTTCTATACATAAATGGACAGATGGAAAGTGTTTGTGCCCAAATGTCCCATATGTGCACACAGTGTGTTTTCTTCATGGCTCCTTGCGCATTATTTAGCATGAATATACTGGAAGTAAACTGTTTCAATGCAGTATTTAGTCAGGACAGCAGGGTCGCTAAAGAATATAATTAAATATATAATTCTGGCCGTCATAGAAGGTATAGTGATGTGATTCAGCACCTAAAATGACCTAAAGCTACTGTATGCAGACTTTTCCTCACTCAAGAAGCAGGTGCATTATGGGACCTGTAGGCAGAGCGAACAATCCTCTCTTGTGCCATAGGTGCTGGCTCTCTGACGTACGGCTAAAATCCACCAGAGATACATGGCGATCTAACCAGTGTGACTCTGAGATGAGTTGAGCACAGCTGCACTAAGTATGTGTGTTTGAGAGGGAGATCAGTGGCACACATTCACCAAGAGTAAAAGAGAGGGTCACCAGGGGAGAGGTATCACCTTACCTGCCAATCAGCCCCTGTTTACAAGTGACACACACATAATCTCTCTCACACACTGTTTCCCAAGCACATGCACGCAGGCAGTCAGCAGTCGAGGCGACCAAAGGCACATTGTGTCCTCAGTCCTCCTCGGACGCACTCAACATGCTTCACTACCCAGGTACCCAGGTGTAGTGGCGTGTTCTCTTAACGGTCCACACCCACCCTGCATGGACATGAGCTAGAGGCATAACAAATCATTCACGCTTCACAAATCAAAGAAATAATCATTTATAGTCTCTGTAATCCAGGACATGAAAGCAGCCGTGTCCAATAAAACTCCCTCTCAATGCTCTCAATAAGTATCCTTACAGTCTCATATCACAGAGGAGATGGCCGAGGACAGATAAACCAGTTCAACGCTTCAGTCCGTGACCTCACAATCACCCAGGGTTAGACAAAAACGTCTTATTGTGTAACCTGTCTGGTTGAGATTCATTTTACACTTTCCAGATCAGTGTCCTAACCACAAAAACAAATCTTTGCCATATGATTTGCCTAGCAACAGGTGATCAGCAGTGTTCAACAACTTCTCAGAACTTTCCCTGGTGCATGAATTCCCCTCTACACAGACAGCCTTTGTATGTCTTAATGAATATTATTGTCTTTTGTCCACTTTTTCTTATAGTCTCCCTTTGGTGAACTGCACTCACACATCCTATATTTAGTTGGTGTTTTCATTAGTGGACGTCTCAGTGTGTCTGACAGTTTTCTGTCTTTTGTCCTCTGACAACAGCAGTGTTGACCTGTGCTGTCGCCGAGTTGCTGTCATACACCAGCTGCATGCAACATGAGCCTCGCAGAGACGCAGCAGATAGTAGCCTGTTGTTCAGGCCAACACAAATATATCCTTTAACCGCCCCACACAGGCGCTTTGCGGGAACCGGGCCAGACGCACCTGCTCACAGGCCACGTTGGATGACCTTTCTGCCTCTTCTCAACCTTTGAACATTGTTAAACAATAAACCCTCACACCCACACTCTCTCCACTCACCCAGCTGAGCAGGCGCACAATAGTTTGCGGTTGTCGGATAAACTTGTTGAAGTCGAAGCCTCCTCCTGCGAGCTTAGCCCCGTACGCACTTGCACCGCCCGTCTCCTCCATGTCTCTCCGCTTCAGCTGATTCCTCTGGAGTTCACTGTGTGGTTCTGAACCGATCTGACAGGAGGACAGTCTACCAGCTTCGTCTTAACTAAACCTAACTACTGCCAGCCCCCGCTGTGCTGCTGCTTCCCTTGACAAACCGGAGAGCCACCCAGAGGCGCTGCGCAGGCTGCTGCGCGTCAGAGGGGCGGAGTTAGGGGCCGGGGAAAGACGACAAAGTGCGACTCTTCATATTTTACCACCACGTTTACTTTAGAGATAGATATTCTCATTAGTCACACTGAAAAGACAGCACAGAGCACCGTGAGTATATGTTTATTTAACCACAACAGTCTGTGTTTACAGAGCAAACACTTTGAACCATCAGGCCTCCTCAACTGCTTCATCTTCCAACGTCTTCTTCTCTTCCTCAATTTGGGGCCATTCATCCACAGAGGACTGAGATACCTGAGGAGAGAACAGACACGTGCACAAGAGTTTGGCTGCTTGCTTCTTTCAGTGATTGGTTGTTTGATCCATTGACAGTGTATATAAGAGTTTGATCTCACCTGATCAAAGTCTCCATCTGTGACGGTCTGCCCCACATCAGCATCCTCAGTGTAGTCTGACAAATCCTGTGAGGAGAGATACTTGAGGAGGTCTGTGTCATGGTTGAGATAACACAGTGTGCCATCATGTAAACTGCTCAGCCTTTGAATGATGGAGATACAGAAATATTGACTTACCAACTCGACCTCATTCGCAGCTACTATTCTGTCCATCTCAAAGCCCAACCTGAGAGGAGAAGAAATACTGGTGTCAGATATGCTGGAAACATTTGTTAATGGTCTAGTTGTAAGCATTCTTACTGTATAAAATTAATGTAACCTATATGTATGCCTAACTACACACAGTGAAGCATGAGGAATTGAGCGTTTTGTTCAACAGAATTAAAATCCTGAGTATTTAGCAGTTACATCATCATGTAGCAAGATACAACTCATTGAAAACATAAATGTTAAAGCCCCCTTCACTCGAAAACATGTTTTTCTTCTTGTTCCCACAGTGTGATGGATGAGCTTCACTGTGCAGAATTTTAAGGGGAAAAGATGTTTTTTTTGAGGATTTTAATGTAAAATGTATACTTTTTTGTGGCACTCACATTGTCGTTCCAAGCAGATTATTTGTATAAATGTTGTAATACATGTCCTTTTTACTGCTGACTTAGAGGACAGTGCTATGAGGGAACAACAAGCACTGCAGGACATTTGAAACTCAAGCACTTGGACATCTGCTGTCTTTCATCATCTTTATTGCGAAACTATGATTGTAAGCTGCATCAGAGACCAGTCATGATTTCAGTTCCTTGGTGACCAATAGAGGTTAAATGTGTAACCTGCTGACCTTAGATCTAATAAAGCTATCACATACAACCCCTCCCCAGACGTTCTCCAGGACAAAACCGTTGTTTGGAGCTAAAACAAAGATTAGGTATCGTTCCTGATGAAAGGTGCAATGCATTTTAACATCATTTCTATGTAAGCCATATATTTTACATTATTTGTTGGTGTTTTGGATCTTTGCATGAAAGCTGCTGTATTGGCACACAACATGGAAACAGGAAGAGGAACAGTGTGCATTTTCACCTAGCATCTGCCATTGTTTCTTCTTTAGCAACTGCAGATGAACTGCCAACCCGTAATTCTTCCCGTAAGTCAAACAAAAAAAGAAAAACTGACCACGGAGTGGCACATTTCTCTTTAAAAGAAGAAGTAATGGCTTTGTGGGAAATGTGGTCATCATTCACTTTTCAAGGTATCAGAATTAAACAGAGAAATAACTCACAGAGACTTCTCTCCAAACTGCCTTCGCCCTGAAAGAAGAGTGAAAACATTCATTCACAGTCAATTCAATGGAGAGGCAGCCTCACCAGATAAAAACAGCACTCTGAATTTAATAGACCTTTCTCACAGCAG